CCATAATCGCATTGCAAAAATATTTTCTAAAAGAAATTCTAAAAGGAAAGAAAGAGACCAATTTCTCGGATAAGCTCGACTTGAAACTGAAAACTTGAAAAACTTGAAAACTGGAACAAGCAACAGCTTCAAATTCCCTTCAATTTATCAAAAGTAAATACAGTTCAGTCTCATTAGGTAAAAAACGAATTTTGAGGGCGCTCAAAACTTTTGCACTCAAATCGAACTTTTCCCAGCACCGCATCTGTGACTTTAGAAATTGACAAATTCCAAACCACCACAAGCAACATTTTGAAATTTTCACAGCTGCTAGAAAATACTTCAATCTCGACGTGCGGAAATTTTGATTAAAATCCATCCACAACTCGATTTTTCAATAATTTATAGGCATTTGACCTAAAACTTCTCATTGGCTAAAAAAACTTTCCACTAGAAAATTTGTCTCTGAAAAATGTTTTTCAATTTATAGAAACTGTCCAAATGTTCCAAAAGGTGTTTTGAGGCAAAGTTTTGAAAATATTCAAACTTTGGCCAAAAATTTAGCTTTTACGCGAGCTAATCGATGTTTGAAAAGCTCTGAAATTTTTGAATACGCTGGTCTGACATCGAAGGTTCTAAAATCTAAAAAGCCACACTAAAAGAAATGGCGGGCTGAATTTTCTACCAGTTCCAGACACATTAAATCTAAACACCCTGTATATTTCATTCCCAGTCGTGATTCCCAGACGTTGATGAAAACCTTTCAAAAACACTTTATTGTCTAACTATTTCGATTTTAGCCTAAAGTTCAAAGGGGAGACTTTGGGGAAACCTTTGAAGAAGTGTTTCAAATTGTCCCCAACTAACCCAATTGATCAAAAACGAGTATTCAACTAAAACTTTAAAGCTTAAAAGAAGTTTTCTCTAGAAATAGCCAATTTTAGCAGTTTTCCCTTCAAATAAACGTGCCTACTGGCAGGATTGCGAAAATATCTGCTATGTGATCAGCAGGCTATTTCAACAGTCCGTTACTGTGTCATCTAATTTCGAACACCCTTTGTACGGATCGACAATACATTTCACTCGAACAGACTGAAAGCTAAATAGAATCCACACAATGCCAGAAACAGTATTATAATGAAAACGGTTCTTCGCTTGGGCGATCCGATGCGTGTATTCCGCTTACCGCTATGCTATCAGCCCAATATTTCCTCGTATGTTTGTACTTTGGGGTTTATTTCATTTATTGCATTGAATTAGCTGAATGTTCTTCGAAATTTCCCTCGCCACTTTCACCAGTTTCTAAAACAGCAAAGATCGTTGACCAATTGGAAGGTTTGGCTGAAGAGGACAAAACGCCGGGAGAATTTGCTGCAAATGGACATTTTTACGCGACTACCGTAAATCCCGGAATTTTGTCGACGCAAATTCGATTAAACTGTTCGATGATTTTTAATTATCGCCTACATGAGTCGGCCCCCGCTTTGATCTTCACTGGGTTAATCTTTAATATGCCCCGTACAGAGCAAACAGGATAAGTGCCGATTTAATGCAATTATGAAAGGATTAGTGACTACCTCACCTGGAGGTTTAGACTCATTCGGCTAATGCCGTTAGGGATCTAATTAATTTATTGAATTATTGGCAGCTTTTTGAATAATCACTGATCCAAAGTCACTAAATATGCACAAAGAAATCCAATTAAAAACAACCAAAATAGCTTTCTTCGTTCTTTCTCATGTTCTTCTGTTCCTTCCTTCTTGATCTTGCCCAGAAGGTTCAAAAGTTTTGGTACTTTTCCAGTTCGTGTTAATCACTTAAAGTCTGATCTCTCATGATTTCATAGAAGATTCCAAATTCCAAAGAAAAATTTGCAAAATTCCCTTCAATTGGCTTTTTCTTTTTCCTTCTTGGAAATGGACAAAAACCGAATCTCTCATGGCTGTTGAACTTTAGGCAAAGTTAAAAGACTCGGCTCACCTAATTTATTTTTTAAAATCGATTGCAAAATCTAGTTGCATTTTTTCGGGACAACCTGCAGAGGAAAAATACTAAACGTTTTTGTGGAAAAACTTATTTTTTCGGATACTTCCAAAGATAAAAAAATTGATATCAGTTAAAAGTTCACAATTCAAATCAATCCGAAAACGCTGTACAGTTTACTCGAATACTAAAAAGCGCCGATTTTTTTAAAATATTTATAGCCCAGCGTATTCTATTTTTCGTCGTAAAAACATCCGATTATCAAACCAGAGCAGACGGAAAGATAAAATGGATTTTGAAGAAACAATTTGGAGGATTTTGCATTCTGAAGAGGAAAAGTGAAAAAAATCAATCATCTCCTAAACAAGAGGAGGTAGAAAAATAAAATGCACTGTAGTAAAAAGGGATCACTTTTAAACGTGGAAGGCTTTGCAAAAATCCCTCAGCAGGTTTAGTTAGGAGGATTTTTTGAAAACTTGCTCTTGCACCATGAAGAGGAAAGTGAAAACATTTGAGTATCTGCTAGACCAGAGCAGGCAGGAAAATGAAGTGTATAAGACTGAAAAGAGAACAGGTGTGCTTGAAAGTGTGAAAAGTTTCGAAAAAAATCCTCTTCAGCTTCAGTTGGGAGGATTTTTTGAACATTTGCTCCTGCACCATGAAAAGGAAAAATTAAAACATTTGAGTATCTGCTAAACTAGAGCAGGCAGAAAAATGAAGTGTCGTCGACTGAAAGGAGCACAGACGTGCTTGAAAGTGTGAAAAGTTTCGAGAAAAATCCTCTTCAGCTTCAGTTAGGAGGATTTTTTGAACATTTGT